GATCTTATTGGTGCAGTGTAATTGTGCTGCCTCCAGATCAGAGGCAGTTCCAGGTTTAACTCTGCAAATTCATCCCAATAACAGTAAATCTTCTCCCTGGATCAGCCCCCAGACAATGTCCTCACTAACACAGTAGTTAGTGGCTGCAGCAGAATTAATACATTGGGTGGTCTTTGTTGAACCAAGGTGAAGGAGGTGGGTCTGTCAGTGGAGGACTGCAGCTGCCTGGCTCAGGATGCCATTCGGATCTTTGGGGTATACTGGAGCATCGGTGGTGCAAACAATGGATCCCTGCCCCCGTACTGGCCTGCTCGCCTCTCTGCTCTGTCCAGCTCCCAGAATCCACTGCATCTGAAGTTCAATGGAGTACCTGCTGAAGTCTACCTGTCTGTAAGTTCACAACAAGTCTATGAGCTTCCTTTAAGAGGAACTTAATGAATGTGTGTTTTTTGACCACTATGGGTCTGATACTGACATGTTGAAACAGATGTTATTGTCAGTACAATACTGTCAATACTGTTAATTTGTTCATTTAGAACTTCTTCAATAGCTCAGGTACAGGGCAGAATCATTTTAAAGTTTAATTAAAGCCCTATTTCAAACTCGTTTAATCCTAATTTGTTGGGTATATATAACATATATATAACATATTGAAGCTCATCAAGCAGACAGACTTAATGAAAATTAATAAACATTGTAAAAAATGACTGAATGCGCAGTATAAACGCACTCCTAACAGCGAGTGCTATCTGCAGCAGTCATGACATACAAGGTGGTCTGTTGATTGTGTTGCACAGTGACAACTTTAATGTGTTGTCTTCATAATAAATCAGACTGAAACCCAAATGCAAATATGTCTCCAGTACCACATTGTTTATTTCACCATTGTTGCCTCTGTATGAGGTGATGGTAGTTTTATTCTTTGTTATTTTCTGACTTTAAATGTTTATGATCAGGCTCTCTGCAGGTGTGATAATGTATTCTAATAATGTCTGATGATAAAAATGCCACATCAATAATTGTTATCCCAAAATTGACATTTGGAAGTAAATGCATTAATGACCGTACAAATGGCATAAAATGTTGGTATCCTTCTTTTGTTTTGTTTGTTTTAGCTTCTTGAAAACTGAATACATCTTGATGGTAAACTCATAATATCTGAACATTTTCAGTTTACTACACACGCTCATCAGAGGGATGAGGGCTGTAATAGATTCCTATTCCTCTCCCTCTTTGCTCTCATGATCCTCACTGTTTGTTGTGTGTCTGTTTCCTGCAGAGTGCCCCTCCACAAATCTCAGCCCGCGGCCGCTCCGATGATCTCTCCGCCATCTTGTCCGTCATCAACGATTCCCAGAAATTCGTTTACATCTCCGTCATGAACTACCTTCCTCTGTCTGAGTTCACAAAGCCACTCAGGTACACACAGCTCACCAAGAGCCACCAGTATTTATTGCTGCACTGTTAAAATTCACCAACACACATGTAGAATGTCCAGACAAAATAATGCATTAAAGCTCCAAGTGAAGACTTCAATTCAAGTCACTTAGGTAATGCTACTGTATTACTGTAAAAAATAAAAAAATTATGTGGACAGTTATTAAACAGTCACAATGCTGGACCCTGATTGGCTGACAAAGCAGCTTCTCTAATTAAGATTAGGTATACCTGCTGACTGGAAGCTCTTTGATTAAAGTGCTGGAAACTTGCCAAACTGGAAGAGAGCCAATCAGCCTGAAGACACATTTTCCTATATTTATTATTTACCAATTTTCAGTGCAGCAACTGAAAATTGGAAAATGTAAATATAGGAAAATGTGATATCCTCCACTTCCTTCTCATTAGTAGCACACATACTGTAGTCTTTTTCCTACTTGCCTATGTTTCCCGCCCCTGCCCTAAAGCACCACAGGCGTACACGACAGTATCGATCTCTCTTCTGAAAAACTGTGCTCTGGTCTCCCGCTCTCAGGTTCTGGCCCACCATCGACTCAGCCCTACGTGTTGCAGCCTGCACCAGAGGGGTGCAGGTCAGACTGATGGTCAGCTGCTGGGAGCACTCGCCTGCCCCCATGTTCCCCTTCCTGCAGTCCCTGCTGGTGCTCAACAGGCCTCCACTGAAATGCGACATTGAAATAGTGCGTTTTGAGACTTCATTTCTTTAAAGGCTACAACATGGTGCACTGAACAGAGCGATGATGGACCCTGAACTCTCGTTTAATTTATTTATTTTTGTGTCTTTGCAGAAAATCTTTACAGTGCCTTCAACAGCAGAGCAGATGAAGATCCCCTTTGCACGAGTCAATCACGCCAAGTACATGGTCACAGACAGAGTGGTCTATATAGGTATGTTATTACCACTGCTCAGACATCAACACTATCAGACAATAACCACTGTGACAGACTCAGGATAGAACTAATTGCACTGTGATTAAGCAGAGTTTTGAGGTATGCTTGTAGTTCACTCAAGTATTTCCCATTTATGTTAGTTTGTACTTTTACTTCACACTACATTTATCTGACTGTTTTAGGACCTTATTATGTTGCTGCTCATTATTCATACCAAATATATAATCAACTTCGAAAACCTGATGCAGAGAAGAAAAGATATTCCTCCTATCCAGTCATTTTAGTCTGAAACTGAGCCCTTAATTTAGTTTGCTTGTAAAAGTGAAATAAATCTGCTAATATAGCATATAGCTAATATACAATATTACAGCCTTTTTCAGTGCAAGTCAGCTTGTCTACAGAATTTGTATTCACATTTCACATCTTCTATACAGTTTGAAATAAGTTGAAATATTATTACTACAAAATAGGGTTCGCAGGACTCAATTCTAGACAGAAATGTTTTAATAAGATGTGGGTTTTGCAAATCAAACTGATCAACACTTTACGAAGTAGTTATCAGCTCCACCTCAACCGACTACAAAAAATATACTGTTCCTAACACTATGACAGGAGACCTTTGGTATAATCAGCCCCCCCCCCTCTAACCACTGAGTGTTTGTGTCCGTAGGGACGTCCAACTGGTCAGAGAACTACTTCACCCAGACTGCTGGTGTGGGCCTGGTCGTGAATCAGACGGGCTCAGAAGTAGGAAAAGGCCAGCAGACTCTGCAGAGCCAAGCAGAGGAGCTCTTCCTCAGAGACTGGAGGTCCCAGTATGCCAGCACTCTCTCTGTTGACAATGTGGACGTCTGCCCTCATGGCCGACACTGAGGGTTTGCTGTTCAATAAAGCACATTGCATTGTAGATGAGCATCTTGCTTGCTCCTGCCACTTGAACTTTATTTTACTTGTGCAGAAATCAGCTTGCTGTACTGTGTGAATGAACGCAGTTTATTTTTATTGCCGTTTCCTGACTGCCTGCCTATTTCTGTATATAATTGCTATTTTATATTTAGTTTCAGAACTTGTTATTTTTATACTCTTGTTTTGACAATGTTTTGACAATTTTCTTACCTGAGCTGAGGCGCAAGGGAACTCGCTTTGTACAATTTATTTTATGCCTGGAGCATTTTGTATATTTTCCTTAAAAATGTCGGTGCCAAGCTTTAACAAACCCATGCAGGAAATTAAACATTTCCAAAGAGGTGCATACACCATGGCCATGTTTACGCTGCAGACGCTATCAGCTGTTAATATTAATGTGTGGTTAAACCATTTGACATGATGTTAGTCCAACAGTACAAGATTCTTGTATAAATACTGGCAATTTTCGTTTTGTAACTGATGGCTGGCTCACAAAGAAATCCAATCTGAATGTTTACCTCAGTAGACAGAAATAACTCTCTCAGTTAAGAGTGAGTGTGCTTTGCTTTCTGATTGATGTGTTTGTTCTGAATCTGAAAAGAACCATTTTCCTCATCTGGAATCTGTATTACTGTATTGATCATTACTGTGCTGTGTTCTCCGATCAATTTATTACCAGGGTTATCTGTTGTATGCTTCTGTCATCTGCGAACATGTCGTTTTCATCTCACACTGTTGGACTGTTAAACAAAGGGACCTCCTGGCTCTGGGTGGAACAGGGAACATTTCAGTCGACCCGGACAAACCGAGCAGTTTACTGGATGTTTCAATATAAATAAAACCTGTTCCCCAGCTGGTGATCTCTGAGAGCTTCTTGGGTAACTGTGAAATAAGTGAGACATTGCTGATGAAGGAACAGACATGGATAGATTCGCCCAAATGACCAACCTTTTTTCAGTTTTTTTTTTTAAAATTGTGCACTTCTTAAGATTTCTGTCCGACTCCACAGAATTACAGTGGTGAGTGGGATTTCATTGACGTTACTCAGAACATTGAAAACTTTTTAAACAATTATCTACAGCTGTGTTAGCAGCTCTGTAAGGTTGTGCTTATGTAAAGCAGTGCTTTGAAATGATGCTAAAAACAACATGCAGATCACAATGCTAGCCTGCTAATGTTTAACAGATATAATGTTACAGTCTTAGTTTATCCAGTTAGGATGCTAACACTTGGCAGTTAGCAACAGTTTGTGTTTGTGTGGATTTTCCACAAAAAAAAGTTGAAATTAAATCTCATTCTCCCTCACTGAAAAATACACCATCTATAATTATGCAAATGTTTATTCCTAAAGTAAGTACTAAAGCTAGATACATATCACACTTGTAAGATTTATACTGAACCATGACTGGCTCCAAGCTAGTTGCTATGTCATGAAATCATACTCTACTCTCTACAATATGTTCTACACCATGTTCTGTGGATTATCTGGAACAGTGTCAAAACTTCCTCTTCTTTTGTAATTACTTAATGGTTCTGAACTTTCTTAATAAGGTTCAACAGATGCAAATATTTAACTTTGTACCACAAAGTCAAACTCAATAGACAAAACAACAAAACAGAAAATACTGACAATCAGAGAACCTCCTGACTGAATCACTTTGGGTTTATTTGGGTCTTTATTTTCGCATTATAGAATTTTAACTGAACTTACCACATGACAAAACTTATCTTACAAACACCTAACAAACAAGTAAAAAACATCTAGAAGCTATGTTGTAAATTTGAAGGATCTTGTTTTATGTGCAAGAAATTTGAGACTTTCTGTCTCACGCCACTCTGAATACACTTCAGTGATATCTGCTGTAGGTACAGATTTATCCTTCTACAAGATGCCACACTCCCATAAGTGTTCCTAGCTTTTATTCATCCATCCGGCCGAATCTGCTCCATGTGCTCAGACAAAGAAGAGACAACAAGGTGAATGGAGACATGTCTCATTGGAGGAGCCAAACAGAAAGTAGCAGGACAGGAGTAATGTCTTTTTCACTATCTCTGATCATGACGGTCATTCAAGTCCTTTTCTATCCATGTATGAACGACTTGAAGATGGAGGAGTGTTTCTCACACAGAGAGGGATGAGTGCCCACCTGCTCTCATTCCATGGAGAGCTGCACGCTGTCTGTCTGGCCTTGTTGTTGCTGCTCAAATTTTCTGGCTAAAAGACAAAATAGAAGAAAGTTTAACACACCTGAACTTCAACATTATCCACACACTATTCCACAATTGTCACTTATTGGGTGTTTACATGAAAATAGAGAAAATAATGTTTGTATAGTTAATATATCCCTTTTCTCTCTTAAAGCAGGGAATCTGTATCACAAGCCTTAATATGGATGTGTGAAAGTGGAAAATCTCACCAAGACTCTATTGTCAACAATTCTGCGGCTCCTACTGAACCACAGATCTGCGCTGACACTCACCCAGAGAGTACATCTCTAGCTGCTGCCGCAGGCGGACCTTCTGCAGACTGTCGTAGAAGTTGGGCTCTGGACTGCTGCCGACGGTGGGAGGCAGAGTGAAGATACGCATGATCTTCCTCTTGTTTCTGAATTACATGTGAATGAAGAGAAAAAATAAGACTGTGTAGGCCGAAACTGTTTTTCGCCACGAGAGAACATCGCCATTTTGAATTTTAATAGGTAAATCAATAGTATCTGAAATTAAAATTCCATTTTAATATCAATCTATGGAGTATTAAATGAATGCCATTGACCACAGACTCTAAAGATGATATTTAAATATCAAGATATGTAACATAAAATAAGCGCACTTACTGTATCCAAGGAAACGTACGAAAGTGTATTATTTTCCTACGTAGTATAGCGTGAATCTAAATATTTTGAGGAGAACTTGTGGAAAACTCACTCAGTCCCGCCTTCGGTGTACCTCTGCCTGTTATAAACAAAGTGAGAGGGTGAATTGTTGACTGAAAGTGCAAACTGCTTACTTCCTGGCGTACATCAGCAGACCGAAGCTGACCAAGATAACCAGCAGGTAGACATTGGTGGCCTCATTCCAGGCTTCGTGCACTGAGTAGTCAATAGAGTCAGGCTCGTTCCCCAAAACCCCGTGAGCACCCATTGAAGTACGACCACCACGACCAATCTCTGCCGGTAAATACGTGAAAACAAAGAGATATTGTATTAATGTCACTTTGGTAGCTTACATTTGCCTATGAGTCAATTGTACGTTGTAAACACTATGACGTCACGTCCGCGTCCTTCTTCTTCTTCCTTTTTGTTTCCGGAAGCCCACACGCTGCTGCCTGTGTTGCTGCCACCTACAGTCCAAAACCTGAACTCACACATGAGCACGACAGTTCCACAGCAAACTACTCCTCGAGTTTAAATTCGTCACGTCGCCCAAGTGGAAATGTCCAGTTATCTGATGTATCGTTGAACCATGAAGTTGCATATTTTGTGCGTTAAAAGTAACGGTTATTCAATTTTGATCTATTGTCTTCTTTTTATTCTTAACTTGATTTGTTTTATGTTGTTTTAATTGTTTGTTTTTGCTTGTTCCTGCCCTCTTGCGCTGTAATCACCAAGTTAAATTCCTTTGTACAGTGTACATTTGGCGAATAAAGCGATTCTGATTGTCTAAAGTTATGGCATAGCTAATACCTTAATATCAGTCTGGGCTGTCTCATTCAGTCTGACGTATTAGACCAATAGATAACTCCTTTATTCAGATATTAAGATTAAAAAGTTCAAGCCCTTGGGTGATAGGCTGTTAAGTGTTACACTTGTACACTGACTGTCATGTTCATTAAACCAGTTTGAGACGACTTTTGCATTGACATGGTGCTTTGCTGGAAGAAGCCAATAGATGATGGTGAATTGTGGGTGTAAAGGGCTGCACACGATCAGCAACAATGTCAGTGATTGGTATTATGGGCCCAAAGTGTGCCAAGAAAACATTCTCCACACCATTAAACCACCAGAAGCAGCCTGGAGATCCAGATACATTAGACCAGGACATTTTCACTCTTCAACTGTCAAGTTTTGGTGCCTGTGCCCACTGCAGTCTCAGATTTGTCCTCGGCTGACGGGGGGGGACCTGACATGCTCTTTTGCTGTTGTAGCCCATCCATCTGAATGTTGGACATGTTGTCATTCTGAAGTTCAGTTGTAAATAGTGGTTATCTGAGTTACTGTTGCCTTTCTGCCAGTTCCAACCAGTCTGGCCATTCTCCTCTAACCCATTGAAGGTGTTTCTCTCAGCAGAACTGCTGCTCACTGGATGTGAAGGAAGATGAAAAGAGGATGGCTTCTACAGCTGGATAATGATCCTAAACACGCCTCAAACTCCACAACAGGTAATCTCAAGAGGTGCAAGTTGAAGGTTTTGTCATGGCTCATAAACATCATTGAAAATCTGTGGATAGGCCTCAAAACAGCAATATGTGCAAGATTTCCCAAGACTCTCACAGTACTAGAAGCCATTGCAAGGCAGAAAGGGCTATCACAAAAGTGTTGCGAGTTGTGACAGGGGGTGTTCTTTGCTCAGTAACTGTAATTTTGCTAAAAAAAAACCCAAAAATGTTTTATTCAAGGCTGAATTACAGACTGGACAAAGCTGGGAACTGACCTAGAGTCCCAGACCCACAAAAGCTCTAGGTTCAGTTTTATGTAACCTAGTGGCCCAGTGTGACAAAATAACAAAGTCACACTTGAAGAAAATGCCATCATAGACAGAAACATTAAGATGCAACAACAAGTTTATTTGCCAAGTTTCCAATGTTTCTGAACCATTCAGTGAACTCCATGGTCTCTTGCAGGCAATACTGTTCCATGCTGATTTATGTGAAACTAACACATGGAAACCCACTGTTGTTGTCAAATCTGATGGTAAAAAATGTTTTCACTTTAGGTGTCTGGTGTGAAACAGTATAAAATAAGTTTAACAATGACACTGAGGGAATTTTCCCAAACAAAAGTTTGGTTTACAATAAAGCTTTTTCAAACCATGTTTAATCAGTTCAATATCATTCATTGTCAGCAATTACATGGTACCTTATTTACACAAATAACTTTGTTGCATCACACTGTGGCTTGTTTTGAATTTTTTTTTCTTTCAAAATTATCTTATTTTTCAAAATAGAGTTTTACTAATTCATTACTACAGAATACATAGAGCTGCTTTTAACATAATTGCTGTAATTAATGACTTTATACACGAGACAGAGACAAGAGCCAAAGCTCAGTACACATTATAAAGTATCAGAAAGGAGATGACAGGCTGTTAGGCCAATAACTGCAGTGGTTCATCATGTTACACCCAACAAGCTGCGGGAAAAGTTTTTCCTACAAAGTAGACAGAAAAAAAAACAAAAACACAGAGACTCAGGTTGCTACTTTTAGCAAATATGAAAATGGCATGATCGCTACAACTCCACAAAAACTCCACCTCAAGCTGTTTTTGAGGTGTTAGTGCTGAATCCCCACTTTGTTGTAGATTTAAAATAATTTAAAAGAGCAAAACGAACATGTCTGAAAGCCGAGTTAATGGCTAAATGTTGGATGTACATGTTCAAGAAACCAGGTCAAGTTGAGCGTCAAAAACAAACCAGCCTTGCAGTACATGGACAGACACTGATCTGTAAAAACTTCTTGTAAAACTGCAATGCGCAAATGCTTTAAACTTATGATGGTAAACATGTTCATAGAAGTAAATGATGGAAAATCTGAGTGCTTGTAGAAAAAATAAACAAGGAGGACTTGACAAAGTCAGAGTTCAAAAGACATCTGAGACAAAGTCCAAACTCAAATACAGTAAGTGACACAAAACACAACTAAATGCATAAAATAAGACTCAAATGTTTGCAAAGAACCTGTGGCAATTTACAGCTTTTAAGCTATGACAACAAATTAGTTCACTACTTTGTTGTCAGATATACACACACACACAAGGAAAAAAAAAAAAAAAAAAACGTTAAATCAAACCTTTATCAACCAGGAAAATCTGAAAGCAAGCAGTAAATAAGCTGTTATTTATCATTTATTTACAATACAGGTAAGCTATTTTTAACAGGTGTATGCAAATAACGATGCAAGTTGTTAGTTACTGGACCACACAGGGACTCAGTGTGGGTGACGATTTAAACATGCAGTGTTTCAGTGCTCCCTCTAAGCCTTAAGAGTGAAATGGAACCACAACACTCAGCAGAGAGAAAGACAGACCAGCTCACTTCTGTCTCCAAATCAGGAACCTCTGAACCTCTGATGTATTTGTCAGTTTTGGAGGATGGGTTTTAGGACCACCAATTATTTTCACTTACTTTGCTGATACTTTACACTCATGTCATGCTGACTGTTTACCTTGAAGTATTTATGCATACCTTTGCTGCTGTAACTGAACCTGCAGCAGATGAAACTAGAGCTACAGATGAACAGAGTTTGGACAGTGCAGATACAGTCCTGAAGAATATGGGTGTATTTGTAGGCAGATGGGTGAAAACCATATTAGCTAAAATACAGCCAACTTGCACATAGTTTCTCCTTTAATGGTATGAAAAAATAAACTTGCTGCTATTACCTGGTTATTGCAGCATCTGCATTATATGGCCAAACTCTGCTTCTCTTGCCTGATCTGTCCTTCTGCCAGTGGTGGCTGTATTAGTAGCAGTGGATATATGCTGTTTCAGCATCTATAAGCAATCCTCTTGTTAACTGTATTAAGCTGAATCTGTAGTGTACATTTATGTGTATCTGTGAGCTTCGAGGCTGTTGCAGCATTAGCACTGGTTATAAGCAGGCTAGACTGAGGTCAGTATCTAATCAAAGCATTATCAGTATTTTACCATTATTACTGTAGCTAGCTTAGAAGTGATTGCAGCAACAAGCAGTTTAGCACTAGCATGTAACACTAGTAGAAGCAAGCAATATGTCAAGCTATGCTAGAGGCTACTAGAAGCTATTACTCCCTACATTACTTTTACAAAATGCATTATGAGCATGTTAGCCTGTTCAAAGCTAACGCGTGCAGTGATCTGGATTAGCGCAGTGTCTAAGCTCTATGGTAGTGGCTGGGTTGTGAGAGAGCAGGCATAGAGGGAGCACTGATTGATTCACTGGTGTCACATCAGTATGTCCAGGTCGTCGCCGTGGTCATCTTCCTCCGTCACCCGTAGCGACAGAACCTCCTCGTTCAGAAATAGTCCGCTCAGGCGCTCCTTACGAGCCTGCCGCTGCTCTTTCAGCTGCCGCTTTCGGAGGGCTTTCTGCTGGAGCTTACGCTGCTTTGAACGTTTCTGAAAAGACAGTGTGGGGGAGAGAGGTTAGTGATGATACCAAGATGAGGAGAAAGGTGTGAAGATAATCAGCTAGTCTCACATGCTCTGTGAAAAGCTGAGGGAATAGAAATGGCTGTAGAAGAAGTGCACAGGTATTTAAGTCATACAAAAGCTTTGTATTCATATAAAATCAACTAGAATGTATTAGTTACAGTAAAAATAACATTTAGATGGCAGAGTGGGTCCAGAGGCAAATTTACTCCTTAAAGTTTAAAAGAAAACCCTTTCCCCTTGGGATTCTTCCCTATGAGCTCTGACTGAAGAAGATGAAAAGGTGTATACGTCTAGCACAATAAAAACATCACCTGGAAAAAAGAGGTGGTCTGATTCAGAGGTTTCTTACTTTAGAGTCTCGTATACGTTCTGCAGCACTGGAGAGGTTGCCATCGCTATGAGCTCTGCTGATGTTGGCAACACTGCTTCCACTACAGGCTGAGGCTGTACCACCTGGAACAAAGGGAAATATAAACAATGTTACAACAAGAAACCAGACTTTAACACTGACCTGAAACGCTCCATTCCTGCAGGTCTCCCTGCTGACAGCACCGATAGTGCTACTTAACTGCTAGCCAACCAGGTAGCATCTTACCTGCTACAGAGTTGGAGGCTGTGGAACCAGTGGAAGAGCTAGCGGAGCTGACCATGCTGGCATTACTGCTGCTGGCTCCACTGACACCACCGGTGCTAGCGCTGCTGTGACTGCTCCTCTTCCAGCCCTCTCTGGTGCTACTGGCCCGCTGCCTGGGGCTGTGCTCTCTGATGTAGTTACGCACCTGATAACAACACACTTGTCAGATATCAATCTTTTCACATGCAACACTGGTTGTGTCCGAAATCACTCACTCAATTCACTCCTCCCTACTCACTATTCGGAAAGTTAAATATTCAGTGAGCTCATCGGTAAAATGGAAAATCACTTTCGGACACTATTCAGGTAATTGGACTATATAGGGAGTAGTGAGTGATTTTGGACACAGCCCATTTTTATCTTCACACCGTTTTACGCAGCAATGTATTCAAAGTGAGTTTTACTCTCCGATACATAACCATAATGATAAAACAAACTCTGTATATTATATATGTTATAGACTGTATATTCTTGTATATTCCTGTATAGTCCTGTATATAGACTGTATATTCCCTCAAACCTGTTTATACAGTCATATTGGATATATTTTATGGAGTCGCAAGTATAGCAAGAAATAATCACACAAAGTTCTACACAAAGGCCCTGTTCGATCCCAAGACGCATTGAGGACACATTTGAGATCTGATTACTCGACCAAATTCAGATGTTGTCTGGGCCACATGTGGCCACGTTCTTTTAGCAGCGTGAATGCAAATGTGTTCCGGACCACAATGAAGGACCGCCGACTCTACTGATGTCTTCTGCCACAGTCTGCTTAGTCCCAACCCAGCTTCATAATGACCCTAAAATATTTTACTATTTCAAATGGCTAAAACCTTTTTTCAGTGTAGAGCTGTGTGCAGCATATTGAGTCTCTCAACACCTCCTCTTCTTCCACACACACAGACACAATGACAACAGACTTCTCTATCACAGCCAGAGGGGGTAAAAACAACAACACATACGTGTTTATTTGCCTATGGAAAGAAGTGAGATTAAATTACACGTGGTCACTCAAGACGCATTCAAATGCCAGGTGTGAAATGACATACTCCGAGATATCCATATGTGATCAGATCACCTGGGACACATGTTCATGTCTGGTCTGATCTTGGCCATATTGACCTATAATCACCAAATGCATTTATATTTATGCCTCATCAGCATTTTGGTGTTTAACTGGTTGCAAATATCTTCTAAATGCACAAAAAACAATTAAACTTTGATGTTAATGATCATCCACTAAAACCTCACAGGAAGCAAAAGTGCTTTAAATATTTTTTTTATCTCCAGATGGTGGCAAATAAGCAGCCATTTAGAATTCTGTTTTTTGGCTCAAATTTGTGACAGGCTCCTTGTGATTTGTTGTAAGCATGAAGTTATGTGTGAAACCAGCTTTGTTTATTGGTGTAGCTGCCCTGTATTGTAAAAGAGTTTTGTGCTGCAGAATTACTACCCACCTGTTTGAGTTTCTCATCGGTGAGACAGTTGAGCTCAATGATGAACTCGCTGTCAGTGGGAGAGATTTGAGCACACGGGTCGATGATCTTGATGATGTCCAGCTGCTCTCTCAGGCCCATCTCTGTGCTGACCTTCCGACTCAGGTACTCAATGTACTCCACCTGGAAGTGGTAACACACACACATGTAGCTTTGAGTTTTGCTGCTGTTGTCCAGGTATCATTTCCTATCATATTAAGTCACAGATGAATATCCTGCACAAAAGTAAGCTGAGGATTTCAGCTTCATTGTTGTTAATTCTGAACTCAGCATAAAAAAGGTATGTCAGCTTTGTTTACTTGTTCATCATTGGTCATGGCACTCCAAGGTAATTCATCCAGGTTACGATGAGGGTGGGGCTTGGGCTTCCTCTTGGAAAACAAACAGGGTGAACTCGGCACGCTCGGGATGATGTCAGAGAGGACATCACTGCCACTGGCAATGTCACTTCCTGGCAACTAGGAGGACAGCAGAAAGACAGATCAGCAATGACATGTGGAGACAACAACAACAAAGGAAGGCAGACTGTTGAGAAAGGACTCGCAATCAATTACTTTAATATCCATATCCAAACAAATGATGCAACTATGTTCTAATGATTTACAGTAGTAAAGCACCTGCTGCATATTAAAATCTACAGTAAATATCACTTGTAAGTTGACCAAGAGATCAGCTAATAACCAACCTGCCACTCAAACTCGCTGTCAGACCAATCCCAATAGGTGCTGATAGAGGAGGAGACGTCGCTGCAAACACTGCCCTCTGGAAACAAGTCCAACGATGTTAGTTCCTGGTCATCAAGAAGGGAGTAACAGTCGTCCTGATCCCCCACAGACACAGAGGAGAAGAGTTCCTCACTGCACTCTGAGCTGGCAACACTGGTCCCACAGGAAGTAAGGTTCCATCTGGGGAGAACAATGAGTGAATTTCAAATTAAAAATGAGTAATTTCTGTGAATTGTTCTGATAATTTTCCTGAGACTAAGTGTAGTGCAAACAATAGAACAATGTACATTTCAATGATGCTGATGCCAATGCCCTTAAAACAACTGAATTTCTTTGAAACACATTCCAAATGTCAATAAAGTTTATCTTCGCAAGGAATATGCAAAAATATAGATGCAAGAGTCATTGCATGCAATGATCAATGCACTGAAGAGAACATTTGGACCTACATTTTCTAAGCCTTCAAAACAAATAGATAACACACTGCTTTTTCACATTGTCTAATGGCAGTAAATTATCAGTGCCACGTGTCATTATAATTATTACGCAAAGTTTTAGGCTGTAATCTTCAACTGTGTTCCACACACTGTTACTCTTTTCATAGTGACAAGAGGTATGGTTTTTGTTATGTGGAGGCCTGTGTTCTTTTTATTTTATTTTATTTGATCAGCAACTGCAACATGTTTGTTACTACTGGCCTTGTGTGGTAGATTTTGGAAATGTGAAAACACAAACATAATGTTAAATACATCCATACTAATGTCCTGCAACAGCTGTAAACAAACGTTACTGGCCCTGTCAACCAGGAAACATGCAATTAACAAGCAAATTAACATTCCTCAATAGCGGAGTAAGGTGAGCGCCACCAACAGCTGCAATGGCACGTGCTGCAGCATTTGGTTGTTGGTCAAGCTTTTGTGCCATAGGATACTATAAAGATGGACATCTTAATTTAAATTCCAAAACATTTATGACAGTTTCTAACAAATATCCTTTAACAGTATAATCTGAAAGTTACTTTACCTCAGAAACAGTTGACGCATATGTGTGAACACACGAATACACACACTCTACTTGCCTGTTACTGTGGAAGCGGTGTAGAGGATCTGTTCTGTGACAAGATGAGAGCTGACAGCCAAAGTCACTGACATCCAGGGTTCCCACATCACTGAGGTTGGCTCTTTGGGAGAGGAGAGGGAAAGGCTCCTCAGGGGCCAAAAACTTCTCATACAGAGATTCAGACATGGCTATATGTACCTGACACAGACACAAAGGCAGGGATTAGACATAAATAACAGGGCATCTTTCAACACAGCTACAGCCTCAATAAATACCACAAAGTTGAATAAACACATATTATACACTAGGGCTGCACAACTAATCAAATATAATCGAAAATGCAACTTGGCTAAGTGCAATATCCAAATCGCAGGAGCAATCACTGCGAAAAACAATCGCAGGAGCTGCAAATGGTAAAATCTATATCTAACAAAATAATAGCAATATGATTCTTTTGTATATTGTGCAAGCCTTTTTAACACTCTCAACAAAAACTTCTTTATCAGTTACAAGAGTATTGAAAGGTTATTGTGTTCATGACTGTGTCTAATCACTATTTTTCACGTTTGAGGTTCAGTTTGTAGACAAAATTATTGATGCCAACTCTTGACGGAGGCAGCTAGATAATTACTATACAATAAAATGTTAAGAAAATTACTTAGACCATCTATATTTAGTATACAGTGGAAAAAACGATGCTGCATGTATTCAACATACATGAATCAACACTGCATTAATCATAAACTTGTCCTAATAATAAAGTATCCAAATGGATTTTAGGTAAAAAATTTCCTGTCAAGGAAATGTTGAAAAGATTAGGGGAAAATATAGACAATGCTTGCATTTTATTTAGTTTTCATGTATTTTTTTTTACACCAATTTATTTTGGACAGATATGCAGAGATTTAACTGTAGGAAAATTGGGAATAATACGCACATTGATGCGATGTTTAAACTTGTTTTTTGTGGGGTGGAAGTGAATAATAAAAAAAATGCATATATCGGTTACTGATAATTTTGGGCAAACGCCATACTCAGAAATCCAAACATTCTGCTTTTGACGTTTGTCTGCAAACTTTAGCAGTATTTGATATTAATTGTACATAGTAAGGACTAAAAGATGACTAAGTACTCAATTTTAAACATTAATTAGAGGACTTCATTGGACTCTTACTTCTGCAAGTTTTCCCATTTTGTACCTCTTTGTTGTTAGTAATGACAGGTGGGAAAGAGATACTACAGAAGTGTCTCTCACCAAAGTAAAGCCTTCTTTTCATCCAAACATCAGCAAACGGTTAATTAACACTTCATTCTATTTGCTGGTAAAATTAGTTGCGCTACTTACTTATAATGTTTTCTTCTAGCCACAGACGATGTTAAATAAACAGTTAGCGTTAATGTTAATTGGTGGCACTATCGTTGGACATCATCCAACTCCCACAGTTGTTTGTTTTTCTTAACAACAGAACGAAATATTACACTATAACGACACAGTCGTACGGAAAACACTAGGATAAAACGAGAATTCAGAATAAAAAAATATAGCTAATGTCCATATAAGTTTGGTTACACTTCACATTAAACGTTACTATGTTTAGTTAAGGCGAACAGTTAGCCTGCGAAAACACAACACAAGCTAACATCGTTAGCTGGTTGCTAATGCTCCAAATGTCAACGTAGCGTTTACCAAGCCATAAAACAACGCCTACGTAACCTTTTCCTCACAATATCAAATCTAAACGGTTTAAAGCCACGACGAAGTTGTAATTAAGAAGCTATATGCATTAAAACACCGACCTTTTGTCGTTCAAAGTGTGACCATTTCTGCCACCTCCATTTGCGGATCCTTTCTTTTCTATCGATGGTCTAAGCTGTCACCGCGAGACTCCCGGGAGCGAGACGAGCGTCATGTGACCTGAAGGCGGAAGCTGTCACATAAACAGAAAGTTAGCATAAAAGAAAACGCCTGTACTTAAATTGATCTTTTTTTTTATCTGTTATCTGTGTATATTGTATATAAGTGCGTGGTTAGTCATGGCTTCGAGTCATGCAAAGGACTCCAGCTTTTTAGGAGGCAGGATACCACCAGAAATAGAGTCAATGTCGAAAAACCTCAAGGATGTGGACCAAGAGATATTCAGAAAAATCCTGAAAGGTAATTCTCCGCGAGATGATACCGATGCTAATATCCCTTTAAGCTACCGAAATGTTTTTTTTATTATCACTCATTACGAATTTGTACAGCTATCTGTCTGTGTATTTATGGTGTAAGCAACTGACAATGCAAAAAATAAAGCTGGACATTTATTTGTTGCTTAATGAAACGGACAACAGACAAGGGAGTTGAATGTGCCTGTGAATAATTCTCTCTCCAGCTGTGGTCAGTGCCCTGGAGGGGAAGGACTGCAGAGAAGTGATGAAGGCGATAGCAGAGAGCAGTACCATCCCACAGGAGAGGCTCAGTTACATCATAGCTGGAATGTACAGAGTGCTGTCTGAGGCCATCCGCATCCCCACATCATCACTCAAACAGGAGGTATACTGGTGTTAATACACTGAAAATCACATGCTGGAACATACTGATACAAAATCATGTTTTAGCAACTGAATTGTTGTTTCACTTGTGCTTTTCTTGCTAATACTAGACATCACTGGTGTCCCAATACAATACCATATACAACTAAGCAGGTTTTGAATATGTAGTGTATTCACTTGGGAAAACCGATCAAATTTAGTATACTGAAAAATTATGCATGCTAAAAAACACTTGTCTTTAAGGGTGCTAGAACAGTTTCAACATTGTTAATCTTATTAATAGTTATACCTGTGCGTTTCCTGCTGTCTGCAGTGAAAAAGGCTTCCTTTGCCACAATGTATTGTAGTATTGTACAGAGGAAATGAATGAGCTCTTCATGGTTTCAAAATTGTAAATACATTGCAGATGGTGGGAAAACAGCTACACCTACAAAAAACTGCTTTTTCCTTGTGAAGTTTAACTGATTTTTTTATTTAGGACATTGCAGAAACATTTTCTGTAAAAAACATTTATTAAAAGCCTTTCATGCACATGGTTCACATACACATACGTTTCCTCTTTACCTACCCATTTGGACCCACACCTGTGTGGGTATCTAGGGAACAAAATGCTAATTGTGTCCCCTTCATACACATTAAATTTCACATTTTACAATGAAATCCTTTATTTTTGTATAGAAAGTGCTTAAGGTTTTGCTGTGTCCCTGTTTAGGCCTTCAAAGAAGATCTCCGAGAATTAAGGCAAGGCTCATCCTCTGTTTATTATAAGTTCAATGTTTTGATTTGTTTTCCTTCCTGCTTAACAAAATGTCAAACTCAAATGCTGAATTTGTTGTTTGTGGTTCTGTCGTGTAGGATACCTGAAGACTTTATCACAGATTTCTCCAGTGTGGTTTTTGGAAATCGGTATGTTGAATTTACAGCCTCTAAATCTAGATGTTTACACATTTTGTCTCCGTATTTTTGTGTCCCCTCATGAAGGAACAGAGCTCCCTTTATGAATAAATACAGTTTAATTTTCATTGTAACCTATTCTTGTTGGTTCACTGTTGTGGTTGGTTAACATCACCACAGGACGGCACTAACATGAATGACGTCAATCACAGGACATTGTCATGTGAGATTTGTCCATGGATATTTGAACAGTGCTGCTGCTGTGGCATTCAGATGCCATTCATGGAGACATTATGATTCCCACCTCTCTTTATATTTTTAGCCGTGCAGCTTTAGAGGCAGCGACCTCCCAGAATGATCCCCACCTGCCCACAATAGAAGACTTTAAATGGAGAGTGGATGTTGCCATTTCTACAAGGTAATATACTGAGGCAGAGAAGAGTGTTTTGAGAAATATACTGATGGCTGTAACTACACTCATACCCATGTCTGCAAAACATTCAAGAGAACACTGTTAGAATTTCTGAATAATTATTACTGATTAATATAGCATAGTTTTAGTTTTTCAACAGTTCATTGAGTTGGTCTGTTTTTTGTTTGATAATTGTTTCCTGGAAAAATATATCTATTGTGTCAGGTGTCTATGTCTCCAGTTTGTTTCTAATATAAACAAGAACAAGTGGGAAGTTAGTGTAAGAAGTAACACCTCAGAAATAAGCATTTAGCATCAAAGACATCAGCAAAATGTTTCCAAAAAAATCTGACTGTTTAACTGTTTTAAGTGTTGTCCAATTTTATTATTGTACTTTTTAAAAGAAGGTTAAGTGCAAGCACAGTTTTCTTAATGTCTTTTTTATAAGAAATGTAACTTCAAACTCAGTGTAATGAAGTCCATGTCTTTTTGTGTCTCCTCTGTCTGTCCAGTTCTTTAGCCAGGGCGCTGCAGCCTTCTGTGCTGATGCAGATTAAACTGTCAGATGGGAGTTTTCACCGTTTTGAGGTACAGAAACAATTGATCTGTTTCTTTACATATCTATTGTTCATTTATGTTCCCAGTTCAGAAATACAAACCAGTAGTTTGTTTATGACAAAGCACTGAAGGCATATAGATAAAAGTGCTTAAATTCTTTATTTAAAAATTATGGAATTGACATTAGAGAGCATCACATATGAAGAGGGTGGTTTCCTTCCCCTCTCCTCACCCAGACACAAGTGTTGAGGGATACTTAAAAGTTGTAAAATATGTACATGAGATCATTAAATGAAGTCCTCAAAAAGTGGCAGATTTCTTAATTACACTTAATTGGTGAGGGGTCACAAACCATCATCTTTTGCAATGAACTCCCCTCTTAGATTAACATGAAACAGGATTCATTTACACACACAAAAATGTGTAGACCTGTGTATGTGTATATACATTTGACAAGCACTTTCATTCTTTTTAAACTCTCATGACTTATATCAGCTACTGCACATTCAGGTTTTCCAAACTGGACTGTTTACTTGGGTTTAAATGAGTCTTAGATAGACTTCAGTTTCTATTACAACTGTAATAAGTCCAGCTTTCAGAAACTCATAGATCTCCTATACTGTAGTTCGTCATTTTATCCACATGAATGGTGTTAGTTTTGCACTGTAGTGTATATTTGTATTCCACGTTTATCTTCAGCCTGCGGGTAGAGAGAAGTTGGTTGTTAGCCAGTGAGCTAATGTAGGTCTGTTTCAGTTGTTACATAACAGGATCACAGTGGAATAATTAAGTAAACTTTATTAACCACAGCCTGACCTAGAAGCTGCTGTTGACCAAGTGCTTCTGACACATTTTGACAATATTGTGTCTTTCTTTATGCAGTATCATCATGTCTCTACTTGTTACACATATTGTATTCATTACAATGCAAAATAAAAGCTAGCATAATAGAACTCATAGCATATATAGAACTGTGCTATCTCTAGGTAAAGATTTAGAGAAAATTAACCTTTTACTGGAAAAAAATATCCACTTTAAGTTTTTTCAGCCTGAAACCCTGACCTCATGTCGTCTGTCTGTTCATACAAACCTGTTAATTCAAATTACAGTCGAAAAGACCAAATGCTCAGTTCACAAATAAGCAAAAGGTATTGAAAGTAAGTAAGTAAGTAGACTAAGTTAAACACAGGATTGCAGTTTTTATGTGACAAGAGCATGACCCAGAAACAACTATTATAATATTACATATATAACACATATAATTTGTCTTATAACGATACACTCATAAGAAATAATCACAATTAGTGATGAATAATTAGATATAAAGAAAAAGTGAGAAACTTAAAAGCAAAATGAATCAAATCTTCAAAGAAAATGAGTAAGATATTGACTCAATAGGTGGCGCCATACTCCTGCTACAGTATACCTGCCTCATAATTGCAAAATAGAAGCTGGATTAGAGACTTCCGCCATTGGTGCTTTCAAAGTAGGCTACTAATGTGGACAGAAACGGGAGGGAGGACTTCTGCTACTGCTGTCGTTGCACCTAGTGCAGCGGTTATGTAATCAGATTACAGAAGAATTAGAAGATTAGCAGCAACAGCATCCGATGTGCAGATTCTATTGATGGACCTTATCTTTACCTGATAAGCACCCCTCAGGATCTCTTCCGGCGTTTGACTGACAGATATCTTCAGCAAATCAAACGAACAGAAGAGATGGCTGCACATTCTTTAAGGCCTCTCTTTATAATTAGCAGATGTGTCTTTATTAATAACAGCCACAAACACACAACGAATCATACTCAGATTGTATCTTTAACTCAAGGATGAAAGGACTATGAATCATGGTAGCTATTGTTGCTTTGGTAGAAGCCCACCCTCACCCTGTAGAGAGGTCAGAGGTCGACTGCCATGAATCATTCACCGTGAAATTGAAGGCCTTTCTGACTTTCATGAACTACAAACTAACATCTCAAGAATGGATATCATCCTACTGCCATAGTGATTTGTATGTCATCATGGTAATATTATTCTATATCATTATTTTAGCTCCACCTTGGCTGTGCAGCTGTCTCTGTTACATTGCCAATGAATTGTTGTCATTGTTTTCCTGTTCAGGTGCCAGTGTCTAAGTTCCAGGAGCTTCGTTACAACGTGGCTTTGATTCTCAAAGAGATGAATGATCTGGAGAAGAGGAGCATTCTCAAAATCCAAGATTGATGCACTATTAGGGACGTTCGTAAATTAAACTTTCTTTTCTACTTGGCTTTTAGTTTTAAGAGATTTATTGGAATCTTGTAAATTAACTCCACACAGGAAATCGTTAATTTTAATGATTTCAAATATATTATAAATAATAATAATAATATTGATTTGTCTGTCATGATGTTATGCTTTGAGGATGTTGGCATCCAACACAGCCGACTGTCGTCAGTGTCAAATGATGAGAGCAGTGAAGGCGGGACAGTCAGCAGTTTCCTGTGTGTCAGCCTGTATTTAAAAACAAATCTACAAAACCAGACTGTATCACTGTAACCAGACTGATTTTTTTTCTACTCATGTTTTTATACCTGTTCTTCGAACCAGTGACAGAACAAAAAGGATTATAGCACTGTTGTATAAAAAGTAAAAGAATGATTTTTCTGTTATTTTGTATGTTTTCCATAATAACATTGAGGATTTTTACCTCTTGAACCACATTTCTCTAATAAAATCTTTCTGTCAGTCTGTTATTTTATTTGCAAAGAACTGTATATTTGTTCAAATTTTAACTCTGTGACAGAGAGGTAACGATTCCTGTGTCATTTTATAAAGGTTTTACTTATCACCTGTACAACACTGTCATGGCACACATGGAAAATACACTGACATATAAACAACTAAAGTAGTGGCCTCAATACAAGTGACAAATAGCTGTCAAATCATGTTATGAAGTTGTGTCAAAAGCTTTGTTTTGATATTTATAATGTAAATAAATGAAACAGAAAGGGAATCTCTCTAAAATCTCACACTCATGGGCTCATTGAGCACTAACATATAGTTTTGAAGAGCTGCTCCTGATCAGTTTTATGATTGACTAATCTTTGACTACTCCCAAAAAATGTATAAATCACCATATTTTTCCTTTTTAAAAGTCTCAGCCTCACATGTATCAGACAAATGGAAGACTCCCATGCTGGAAAGAACACACTAACACATACCATAGGTTCCTTGAACATCCAATAATATAATATATATAATATATATAATAATAGTAATAATATGAAACCAGCACAAAAAAATTACAAAAGTTAGATGCTCAGAATAGAAAAAAAATCACATTCCTCCATATTCTACAGCATAAATTCATAGAGAAATAACAACTCAATTACATAACGTTACATGGCAAATGTATAATACTACGATGTCATGTTCATATATCATATGTAAAGAGCGATTATGTAACGATATTATATAAGGATGTTTTCATAGTCTCAAGAAAAATACTTTCTCACACCAGCCTTCATTCCTTTATAAACTACCGTCTTATTGAGAGATCACATGAGGTCAGACGCCAGCATGAATCTAATTTTCCACATAAGAAAACATATTCCTGCCATGAAATGGTAAAAATGTCATTTTCATGGTCATTCTTAGGCTCATACAGTAGCCTATCTCAAACTCAGACTTTCACAAGTTAACATCTGACTTAAGACCTTTATCACACGTAACCTCGATTGTTTCATGCCTGACATCTCTGTATGTTCCTGCAGTCTTTCCTAAATGAACGCCCTGAAATGTGAGATTTTCACTGTGAATGGAGAAACCTCTGGCGTTTCGGAAAAAAAAACACAAGCAGCACTGGAATGCGTTACATGAATATCTGTCTGTCTTTCTAGCCCAGAAAGAGCATGTTTTATAATAGTCTGTGAGGTGACTTAGAGGATAACTGCTGGTCCCAGCCCAGTATTTAATGTCCAGACAGTCTGCACTAGAGGAGCTGGCTAGACTGCATCGTTGGCCTATTTAGAAACACACACAACAACATTTCAAGGTGTGAAGGGACAAGGGGATGTCTACCCGATGAGTGTGTGTGTGTGTGTGTGTGTGTGTGTGTGTGTGTGTGTGTGAGACTGGCAAAGTCTGTGATTACTGTGTGTTTATATGGTTACATATACTTCGCCCCTGCTCTCATTTGCATATATGTCAATCTGTCTGTTGTTACATGTGTGTCAGTCTGTCTCCATCTGCAGCAGTGTATATGTCAGTCAGCGTTTGTGTCTGTGTGTGGGATTGAGTTCACAGGCGAGACCGGCCGACCTATATTACCAGCACCGCTACTACTGACATGGACACTGATCGACTGACTAGCCTATAATCCCCTCTCACACACAGCAAACCCCCGTTTAGCAAACAGTGCCTATTTTGAGACAGTAGGAAATACTACTGATAGGCTTCAGGTAAGGCAAATAATACTCAAGTGTCAGGGCAATCTCCTGGACAATTCATTTACACGTCATTAAACACTGACCTTATAACGAGAGCCTACCTCTAAATCTGGCTTTAAAGGGAGTCAGTGGAGACAGATGCATACAGTACGATAAACTCACTTAACTTCCCCGTCACTAATGGTGAATCATTACTAGGAATTGAGCATTATTTTTCATCATTCATTAGAGGTACTATCATTATGTGCTTGTTACACTATAATCGAGTCTCACTTCAACAGTATTCCTGATGTGTTAGGTAAGATTTTTTTTTCATAATTTTTTTGTCATTATGAAAACACTTTTATGCAACAATGACAGACTACCATCAAAGTTCTGGTGAGAGACTGTTTACTGTCACAGTTATCAAACCAGTAGTGCTCTCTGGGGCAGTGTTACACTTTGATAAGCAGACATCTGGCCAGGCTTTATTGCTTTATGCCCCCTGGTCTGACACCCAAATAGTGATCTAAGGCTTGGTGAAGGAGGGGGGGGGCATCCTCCTGGGTTCTGGGACTAATGATTGAATGTTTTTTTCTTCAGATGTAAAGTTTGTGTAAGAGATGAACAGCTTTCCCTTCTGAGCTGTCTAGTGGGTGGAGGTGGGGAAGTAACACAGCAGAGTGAGTGAGTGATAAGATGTAGGTTTACCTCCCAGTGGTGACAGCAGTGCATGCTCCAACTCTGTGCCAGCAGTCTTTGAGAGTGCGTCGTTTTGCATCCAAGGACTTACCAAAGTGCTCATGAGCTAAATCATTCAAACCCCAATCACTTCAAGGGTGCTGCATGTAAACTGTCCTCAAAGCACACGTTAAAGCTCAGACTGCTGCCTGCGTGCCAAAAGTAAGTGCATTAAAATTCAAGTTGATCAAAGGAAAAGTTACACAACAAGTCCTGTAATTGCCATTTTGTTGTGTAAGTAAATTAATTAAAACAGGAAGTGAATGCTTGTTCACACCCAGATATTAATTATTGTACCATATTATGTTTGAGCAGCTGCCCCAGATCTACAACCGAACCGACGACTGTTTGATCTTTGACTACACCAAAAATGTTTCTTTTAATAAATAGACATTTAATGCTAAAATAATTGTCTGTAAAGACTTAAAGACCTCACAAAGAAAATTCAAAATTCACTTCAGTCTCATTTCATACAGTTTGATCAGGGGACTGAACGTTTGTCAGCTTTTCCTACCTATAACTGTGTGAGCAGCACCTATCTCTGGTGTTCAGGGGTTCACGGATCCGTTCCGTCTGTATTTAATAACAGGGATGAAACAGCTTACAGATAAGACCACAGATTAGGTCAATGTCCAAAAGTTACATATGATTTGGTTCATGAATGATGTTGTACTGCACTTTGTAGATGACGGGGGTCACGGTCTAGAGTAAGAAGAGAGGGCAAAGTTGTGCTAAAATAGTCTTTAATAGGCTACAACTTAAATACTTGTAAATACCAGTCAGTCTTTATTCAGTGGGACCCCTCCAGCTCCACCGGTGGTGACCTCTGCCCCCCCACCGCCACCTGGGCTCCCACACTGACCTGGCAATTTACTGGAGTCCTGAATGCAGGTCAGACAGGCTCCTAGCCCCTGCCCCCGACACTGAAACTGTTACATGGCAGATTGTTTTGTAACTGTTTTCTGAAGTCGCCCAATGAGAACAGCTGGCCGGGATCACATGACACAACTTTTACATAACATTTTTTTTTCTCCGCCGCTCCATTGAGAATAATATCAGTGCTTCCTGGACTAGAGCATGGACATGCAGTGTTGTCAGTACTTCTTGGCAGCGGACACAGATATGAATGGCAGCGGGGGTATTGACCAGATATGCACCACACAGATGAGTGGATAGGCTTCACACAACCTGCTGGTCATGGGTACAGAGAGAGAGAGCATGCTGCAGCTTGCAGCGGAGGCTTTCCAGTCGAAAAACTTCGACCTGGCGGCGGATATCTACGAGTGCCAGCTAGCGGGTCTCGGAGATCCAGGGAGCCGACAGGAGCTGATGGTGAAGCGGGCTGACGCTCTCGCATTCGGGGGCAAATTCACCGAAGCTTTCGATGTGTACCGGCAAGCCTCGGAGATAGAGCGACTGAGACCTGCTCACCTGGCCTACCTCATAGAGTACCTGTCCAGTAGTATTAGGAGGCAGGACGGGGGTGACAGTCAGAGCAGCGCCCCGAGAAGAGGAGAGGAGGCAGGGGCGGCGGTGGCAGCTGCGTGCCCCGCTGTTGATGCTACAGGTTGCGGGTATGCAGACTTCTCCTGTCGGATATGTCTAAGCTTTCTGTTTGAGCCCGTTACTCTGCCGTGCGGACACTGCTTCTGTAAGAAGTGTCTGGAGAGGGAGAGGAAGGAGAAGGAGCGGCCGGTCATGTGTAAGGAGTGCAGCTCCAGGGTAGCCGACGTCCAGAGCTACAGGGTCAATGTGGTCCTCGGCAGCCTGCTGGCCAAGTGGTTCCCGACGCTGCACCAGGCCGGCCGGCTGAGGCGGGAGGGCAACGGACTGTACATCGAGAAGAAGATGGAAGCTGCATTGGACAAATACAACCAAGCCATATTGATAGGTAGGACCCTCAACTACTTGCTGTTATTTCATGATAAACTTTTACCATTACCGGGGACTTAAACAACACATTTTACTGTTGCGGCTGCTGTAAAAAGTGTGTGGCAGGGCTACTGAACCCGTTTTTACTTCTTTAATTTTATGTTTTCTGTTGTCACTCCTCAGTATAATGAGGTTTTTGCGACTTAATATCACGTCAGGTGACTTGTTATGAAATAATAACAGGCGGTGATAAATTGTGACATAGTTTCATGAGTGTGGTTCATATCCTGTGACAGTGGCACTGCAACGTCCCTGCTGGCATCACAGAGCCATGTCGCCATGTGTTGGATAACAGGGTTATGTGGGCTGGGCTAGTGGACCAAACATTGCGTAAGCACGTAACCCGCCCCGCTCAGCTCCCTTATTGTGTAACGTCAAACCATGATTCAGGCAAATGTGGGTCAAGGGTATTATTGCAGGTCACCGCTAGGTATACTAATGCCCACAGGAGCGCCAGAGGTTTTATATAGGCAGAAGTGGTGCGGCGATGACACAGGTGAACTGTGACCTCCAGACAGGGATTATCAGTATCACTATACATAAATCTAAACTATATTTTCAGCCAGTTATTGGTTTTGATCCATAGTCTAGAATAAAGTTTACTCCCTAAGAGATCCAAGACCAAAAACATGTCTATGCTGCTTTCTATGATTGATGTAGACCTACTGGATTTATTTGACTGGTTTAACTATTCCATCTTACTGTTAGTATGGACTGGTGAAATGCAGAGTCTCATCCAGCACACAGCCAAACTCTTTTATGACTGGGATATTTGACCTGACCTCATTCGACTGCGCTGGTGCCACTCAGTCACTTTACAGGCTGGTTGTGTAAGTTAACGGTTGCATGTTTCACTAGCAGTTAAAATCGTGTGAGACGATGCACCATAGTTTCCCTGGGTGATCGGGTAACACGCATTTGCAGCAACAGTTTGAGTTGTGCAGGGAGTTATCAACCACACCAGCATCTCTGTACTGAGGGCGGCCCTCCAGTTGAGCATTTTCCCCCCAGCTGCCGCAGTGGAGCTGCTCAGAGGCCAACAATTGACTGCTGTTGTGCTGTGGCAGCTCCCACAGTGATAGATAATGATCATCCTGGGTTGTTTCCAGGTCTGAGCTTGTACTAAAGTGATTCTGCATGTTTAGCACTTCCTAACCTCTTATTTCAGTGTTGAGACTTGGTTCAAGTTAACGAGAGAGTTGGATCTAGGTTAAGATCAATCTGAAGGTTGCGTTTAGGCTTGTACACCTATAGTTAAGGTTGGGGTTAGTCTCGAGGGAACTAATGCAAGTCAGTACATTGTCCTCAGAGTTATAATTAGCACAGATCAGTGTGTGTGTGTGTGTGTGTGTGTGTGTGTGTGTGTGTGTTTGTGTGCGTGCACGTGCATGTGTAACAAAGCTGCTTTGTGGAAAATAAGTACTGTGCAGTTAGTGCTGTGCTAAACAATGGTTCTTCTGTCCTACTTTGATAAATATTCTGGCAGATGCTGCTGCATTAATACAACCTGCATGTTACCTATTGTCTTTTACATTGTCATGGAAAATAATCCCTTTGTTTTGGGCGTCTCCAATATTTACCTTTTTAGTTTTCATTTCATTGAATGCTTTGCTACCTGTGTGTGTGTATGGTATGTGTGTGAAAAAGCCAGTGAAATATTTCCTTATGATCCCCAGAGGGCTAACTGTGACATTTGCATAAGTTTTATAGTTATGAAACCTTGAATGTGGGTGACCTTGATAGTGCTGCATGGTTTTGTAAGGCGGCGTCTCTATTTTTTTCATAACATATTTTGTGGAAATGGATCAGTTTGAAACATTCCTTTTGTCATGTAACTTGAAACCTTATATCACCAGTAAAAGGAGCTTTCTATGACATCACAGAGGAATAAACAAGTGGTGGCCATGGATTTTTTTTTTTAAATTCTGCAGTAGGTTGTGTAACACTTTCTTTAGTACAGGGGTCATGAATCTTACTGAGAATGTAAAGGTTTTAAGATGAAAACAGTTTCTCAAATAAGTGATCACACAGCTCCCACAGTTTGTTTGAGAGAAAAAAAATCAAGACCTTGAAAATTTTGGAAAAGAGATATAAATGGACATGGGGCATTGAAGGTCTTTGCATTTATATATTCTGTGAAAAATAGAAATGTAGGTTTTCATTTACTGTTGGTAACACATTCACACATTCAAGCCTCTCTCTCTTTATTTGTTGTCTGTGAGCTTAGTTCTCATTATATTCTGTGATTAACTGATTGACAGAGGACTATTTTATTACAATTCTGATTGTGATTTATTGAGCAATAATCTGCTGGTTCAGTTCCTCAGAAGTGAGGAGCTGCTACTTTTCTCAGTCTTACCTCATTGTAAATTCAGTATATTTGAGTTTTATACTGTTGATTGGACAAAATGAGCAATTTGAAGATGTCACCTCAGGCTTAGGGGAATTCACTGGACATTTTTTTGCTATTTTCGGATATTTTATTGACTAATGATTAATCAAATTATAATGAATTGATAATGAAAACAACTTTTTCCTGATGCATTGATTAAGTGTTTGCTCATAAAATTTCATTCCAACCCCCAAAGACATTCAGTTTTGAAAAGTAATAAAAAACAGAGAGAAGCAGCAAATCCCCAGTTTGAGAAGCTGGAACCAGAGAATATTTAGTATTTTTGCCAATGAATTTTTTTCTCTTCATGACTCATAGTTTCAGCCATTTTTCAACAAAAATGCCAAATGTTCTTGTGTTTCCTCTGGTTTTCTCTATTTAAAGTCTTGGTTTGTTAGTTTGTGATGTTTTTCTAAATCTTTCAAATCAGTGGACCTCCGGTACAGAAATCTAGTATCCATCTTGTTGGGCATGAAATCCGAATCATATACAGCCCATCGTTTCATTTTATAAGGTTGTTTGGACTGGTTTTCTCTAACTACATTAAACCGGGTATTGAGTGATGTTTCTATCCGTGGACTAGCCTCCTTTATTAGACAATTCACTGTCGCCTGTTATATCTTGCAGTGGAAAATCACTTGATTTTCATCTCTTCCTACTTTGCTCTATAAAAGGGATGATATATGTTCACTAAAGGTTTTCAAAACAAGTCTTTTAAACACATCAGCTTGGGCTCTGGGAAAATGTGATTTTTTTTTTTTTCACATTTTCTGATGTTTTAGAGCGATTACTAAGAAACTAATAATGAATGGATTTATGGAAAGATATTTGACTATCGAGTAACTGTCTTACTAACCCTTCCTCTTCTCCTCCTCAGCACCCATGGACCACATACTGTTCAGTAATCGCTCTCAGATCCACTCCAGTCTGAAACACTATGAGAAGGCTCTGAGAGACGCTGAGATGGCCTGCAGACTCAAGCCTCACTGGTCCAAGGTATGGCAGAACGACCTGTGATATGCAACAGCAGACAGATATGCGATGAGCAGTTTATGTAAGGACAATGTCAAACTCCCCCCTCCTGTTAGTAATTTATCTTCCCGCTGCCCACAGGGTCATGTTCGTAAGGCCCAGGCCCTGGTGTCGCTGGGCAGGACGGAGGAAGCTCTGAGAGAGTACCTGGTCTGTCTGTCCATAGAGCCTGACTGTAGACTGGCTAAGACCGAGGCTCACAAGGTAAATACAACATTAGTGTAATCCTGGTTCTTCTGTTTTATGTGTAGCTTCAATATATTTCCTCTCCTACAAGACCTCTGTTGTTATTTACTACTTTTACTGCAGTCTCACAAGTCATTCCTCTCTGTTTTATCTAAACAAACACAAGACTCTGTGCTGGGAGCTGTTGTTGTATCGTGATAAATGTGTGCACCACTGTAAAAACACAGAATAATCACATCATTGTTTGTTGTCTCCTCTCAGCTCCTCAGTCACCTCCTCGCTCCAGTCACAGATCAGGTCCCTGAACACATCTCAGACTACTCCAACATACTGTCTTCCAGAGCACACATCAAAAACTGCATCGGTGCTCCCTTCCAGGTAAGAGACGCCCTCACCTCTGGTATCAGCTCAGTGGAGATGAACCAAGATATTGAGCTTTCATCATCATTTCCCTCCATCCCTCTCTCTCAGACTCTTAGTCCCAGCTTGCTGTCATCGGAGTCCAGTCCTACCTCCACCCCTCCCGCACCTGAGAGGCCAGAGGGGAGTGAGGTCAAAGGTCAGGGAAAGTCTGAGGTCAGGAGGCCCGACCACTGTTTCCTCCTCAAACGGAAACGAAGGAGCACAGAGGAGGAGGCGGAGGAGGGAGGACGGGAGAGGAGCGACGATCACAAGAGATCCAGATGTGGTGAGCTTTTAGAGTTTGCCCACAAACATGCCTGTCCACTCTCTCCATGTGTTGTATTTAACATCTGATAATCTCTCTATGCAGAACCAGCAGCTGCGATCGATTCATTGAGCTCTGCGGTCTGTGACGTGTTGGACCCGACAGATCTGGAGTGCTCTCTTTGTATGAGGTGCGATTTGCTTCACAGCTTTATTCAGACATAAAACTTTATTTGCTTTATCATACACCATGCAATAAATCAATTAGCCGTTGTGTAACATGTGCTAAATCACATCCGACAGTTATACAGCCTGTGATGATATATTGTATATAATAAAATGATAATAACAAACTGTATTTATCTAACACCTGTACAGTAGCTTTTAGGACATAAACACACAGCCTGTGAGAAGGGAATACAAAGAGTGTCATAGACTTATATACATTTGCCAATATGTCTACAGGCATACGTTATCAGGTGTTTTTAGCAGCACAAAAAAAACAATTTTGTTTACTGGCAGTGGAGCTGGGTGTATCTTGCACTCTTATGTCACTGCTTTGACAGTGTGTGTTTGCGTGTTTCTTCACACAGGCTGTTCTATGAGCCGGTGACGACGCCGTGCGGTCACACCTTCTGTCTTCAGTGTCTGGAGAGATGTCTGGACCACAACCCGAAGTGTCCACTCTGTAAAGAAGAGCTGTCTGAGGTAGGCGCTGTAATACTCACCTACCGTGTTACAAGTCCAGTGTGATCCAGTCCAGTCCAGTCTAGATCTCAGTCCAGTGGGGGATGCACAGATACAAACTTTTCTCTCTTGATACCGACACCAGTTCTCTCTGTTTCCCAAATTAAAAATCTGTTTACCTCACTGTGTGGTACCTGAATGCTGAATCGGGTCATAGCATATCAGATTGGTGCATCCCTAGAATCCAGAGTCATCCACAGAATAAGATGAAGTTATGGGACAAATATGGAGCAGGCCTTAACATGGCTGTTATTGAAAACTATGTGATCCTCTGCTACTATTGACATATTTCTAACGGTCTCTCTCCTCTCCAGTACCTGGTCCAGAGGCAGTACAGTAAGACAGTGTTAATGGAGAACCTGATATCTAAGTATCTTTCCTCTGAGCTCATGGAAAGACAGAAGATCCACCAGGAGGAGATGGCTGAGCTCTCCAAGTGAGTTTGTGTGACAGCTGTCTTATTATCGGGCCTTACTTATTCTATTTGCTCCATTTCATCTGTGTTTTTCGTCATCAAGTGTAATCTTCTCATAGAGTAAGGCTTGTGTCTGACGTAACACTCACTATGTGAATCTCCTCTGCTGCTGTTTGACCTACTGACCCACAGTAGATAACACACTTTTCTGACACACTGACCTCTGAACGTACGTCAGGTCAGGCATCAAGTATCACTTTCCCGGAGGCTGACGCAGACGTGTGACTCCAATAAATAACTGCACAGAAACTGCAGGAAAACTGATTCACTCTCTCAGTAGCCAGTTTTTGTTTTTTTTTCTCTTTCTTTTTTTTTTTTTTTTTTTTACATTTACTAAACTATACTAAAGGTCAGCTGTGATGAATGGTGCAGATGTTTTTTACCCAGCTTTTATGTAGGTGTTAAAGTTCACATTTTTCATTCACTTCTCATTCATGTTGGAATGATATATTTCCTTGTACTATGACATTAAACACATTCTTCTGTTTTCTCTCTCCCTCTCTTCAGTCTTAACAAGAATGTGCCTATATTCGTGTGCACCATGGCCTTCCCCACTGTGCCGTGCCCTCTCCATATCTTCGAGCCCTGCTACAGACTCATGATTCGCCGATGCATGGAGACGGGAACCAACTGCTTTGGCATGTGTCTGGGAGACGACCTCAAGGGGTCAGTGCTAGGATAGTGACTGTGTGTGCTCAGCTATGTGTTTAATATGTGAATGTCAGAGTATAATATCCAGGAAGTGTAATATTACGCCCTCTCGTCTCCAGGTTTGCAGACTACGGCTGCCTGTTGGAGATCCGCGACGTGAAGTTCTTCTCCGACGGACGTTCAGTGGTGGACACCATCGGCAAGCGGAGATTTAAAGTCATTCAGCACAGAGAGAGGGATGGTTACAATACAGCTGATATAGAGTACCTGGAGGATGTGAAGGTATGAGGGGGGTAGAGGGTGTGGGCGGAGGTACAGCAGGGAGATTGCCAGAGAGGAAGGGTGGAGCAGTTAAAGAGAATTACCAGAAGCTGTTCTAACTCAAAGGTGTGTGTGTGTGTGTGTGTGTGTGTGTGTGGGTGTGTGTGTGTGTGTGTGTGTGGGTGTGTGTGTGTGTGTGTGTGTGTGTAGGTGGAGGGTGTAGCCGAGCGTGAGCTGCACTCTCTGCATGATGCGGTGTATGACCAGGCCTTGGTGTGGGTCAACTCCCTGAAGTCTGAACAGAAGGAACGCATCGAGGGACACTTTGGACCCATGCCTGAGAAAGACTGTGAACTTCAGGTACAAGACACACACAAACACACACACACACACACACACACACACACAAAACCCTCTTCAAAACCCTCCTACACAGTGTCTTCCTGCCTCTGTCTCCTCTCAGGCCTGTCCTAACGGTCCGTCATGGTGTTGGTGGTTACTCGCCGTTCTTCCATTAGAGGGCCGAGCCCAGCTGCCGTTCCTGGCCCTCACCTCTCTGAAAGATCGTCTCAGCGGTATCCGAAAGGTGCTGCTCTTCATGACCCATAGCAGGCACCGGTGACACGCTCTCCGCGAGCGTCCACCCACCTGGAAAATGCAGTAAACACCTTCCCTGCACACATCCTGCCCCAATGCAACAGTTGACCTGTTGTTCTTCCTTTTGATGCACAAAGAACTGACATTAAATGTTGTTGCACCTTCCCCGTTGTAACACCATCCCTTTCAGAAAGCAGCGCTGGATTTCATCCACACCTCAACAACAAGCAAAGATAATATACATCTGAATAATACATAAAGTTCTCGTCACAACCGCACAGACCTGCAAACTTAAGCTACAGTCAGACCGGAGGGGAAGTGTCTACATTTGGGTTTAATCAGAATCATCACCTTCCATTGTAACATTTGATGTCATTGTAACAAACCTAATGCACACAAGCTACATATGTGTTTTTTGTCCGACAACTCCACGTGTACAGCAGCAAGCTGTTGTGCTGAAATGTCTTCATCTGTCCATACTCCACTGTTGCCTTTCTGGCCCTCCTCCATTTTTGTAGTTCTCTGCTCTTCCTCTTGCATACATGTTGAGTGTAGACTGACACACCAAAAAAAAAAGAAAAAGACAAAAAAAAGTTAATTCTCAAAAACTAAAGTAATTTCTCCAAAAATATGAGCTGCATGTCTGAACCTAGCTTTAAAGCGAAGATGAAGCAAATTTCAGAAGCATACAATATTAATCTACTGCAAATGGCGGAGGCCATTAATTCAACCAATCAGTGTCCCCATTCTGTATGTCTTTAAATGTACATTTAAATTCACAACCAAACTATGAATTTGCCTTTTAGCGTAAATGCACTCAGCACAGTTGAGTGAGTAATGATTAAAACACTGATTAGATTTAATTGATTGCAGTGATTGAACCATTCATCTGGGAAAATAGTTCATTCACTGATTGAAATCTCTGTGTAGACATTTACAGATAAACCTGTGTGTTTACTATTTTGCCACATTTACCATAAATTTAACAATAATTAGTTTTTTTATTCTGTCTTCCTCCGTTCCTTTCTTCCTTCCATTTCTGTCTCTGTCTCATCCAGCTGAATAACAATGGACTGAACCTTTTATATTGGTGTGCTTTAAGGCTCTTGTTCTTGTATTTTATTCATCCATTTTTTTTTTCAAAAAAGAATTAGTTGGATTTTTTTTTCCATTATTTATTTTTGTCATTATTTATGCATGCAGTGACATTGTTTACATTTCACAGAGAGAGAGAGATGCTGAGCTGCTCACTTTCCGAAAGCTTCTTTTTTTTTTTGTGTAACTTAACATTTCACCCCAAATATCAGCAATAATTAGCTGCTAACTCTCGGAAAAAGCCCAAACATTTAAAGATCACTCACAAAAACACCCAAATCTAGAGAGGGTAACAACATGGAGCTAACATGGCTGCCACTTGGCAAACTCTGGAAACTGGAGTTGAGGGCAGATTCCCTCCCAGACCACCTATTCTTAGATCACCGGTGACCCAAATCTCTGTAGTACTTTTATTGGCCTTTCATAATCCGAGTTATGTTGACTTAAACATATTTGGATACCTCTAGTGTCAGCAGCCTCTCTGTGGCTGAGCTATTTGCAAAGCTCGCATTGCAGCAAGAAGTCCTAAACAAGATCTGGATTTCTAAAACCATTATTTATTAAGTATTTATTCTGATTTATTTTGCACCTCCACTTAAGGTAAGGGAAAGAGAGAGGCTTCAGTGTATTCATTTCTACCAGGAGTCAGAATTAAGTTAAATCTTTTGCTAGTTAATTTGATCCCTAAGTGTACGCCTATTTGCATCTCCTAGCAGGACAACATGACGGCTAAAGATCTCCATTCATTTGAGGGTGACTGGTGCTATGCTATTTGTAAAGGCTGGTGCCTTCTATCCACAGAAAAAATATGTTGTGGAACCATTTAACATGCAAATTATCTATGTACCAGGTTCATTTTAAGGGCCATTTTACCCCTTAAATGGAAACTTGCTTATTTGAAACATGATTTTCACAGAGAGGAAACAACTGAAAATGGAACGAATACAAAAGAAACGAATAGAATAAGAATAAGAATACTCGCCAACATATTTTTGAGAAAAACAAGTTGTTTAAAAAATATTGAGGCCTTGCTGATGTCTGTGACATGACTGTATTTACACGGCAAACGCTCATCTCTGAAAAATGTTGATTGTTGAGCTTTGCCTTCAAAATCTTTTATTTTATATTTACATGTGTTTGATTTTACATGTTTCTATGTCAATCAGGTTCTTTGTATTTTATAATTTTCTTCACTTACTTGTGCATTTGTCGCTCCTTATTTCATGTGTAATAGTACAGGGAGTGTAATGTCAAATCATCTACATTTATTATTTTGTTTTGAAAGGGCCAAAGCCATGTAATGCTGAAAAATGGAGGACTGATAAAGTGTAATACCACAGACTTTTAATATTTTCCCAGAACAAGTTGTTGATATTGATTTCATGCATTATTTGAGTTATTCACCACCATCAAATAGTTGCAATGGGACATGGAATCAAACAGCAATACTGTATAAAGTACTAGATATATAGGATTGTATTTTATTGTGTAATGACCCAAGTGTTAAATGCTGTTGTTTAAAGGCATTTGTACTATTGAACAAGTACTGACAAGACTGCCATGTATAATAATAGTTACAATAATTTCCCCAGCAATGTTTGCTAATATTGTAATTGAAAGAATTTATGATTAGTTAGCTCAAACTGGGCAGGAAAGGGAAAAGCCTAACATAATCACACTTCCACTATAAAAACATGTTACATAGATTCAAATGCAGAGATAGATGTATTTCCTGATTGACATGAAGAGGTAGCGGTAAAGGGAAAATCCACCTAAAATAAAATTACATACTATTTTTTACAGTTAGTGAACATGAGTAAAATCACAGATGAGCTTGTGTTTTCTTTATTTGTACATTTGAAAGAGTTCAGTATAAAGTTGGAACATGAGACCAAAACAGTGGTTTTGGCTTAAAACTTGTATCTTTTAATTACTGTGTATTTGTGGCAGCAGTTTTAGTGCCTTAAGTTGGACTTCTTCCATTTTCACTTTGATGTATAAACTGCAGTGGCAACTAGTGTCATAGTGTGTGATAACCTGGGGTTTTCTAAATAACATCTTAAGATAATAATTACATATGTTTGTCACAGTCATTTGAAGCAGATCCCACCCTGACCATTGAAGTAATCCAAAATGTTAGTAGCATCACATACCACTAACAGCGAGCAGTCGTCACTTTGAATCTGTTGTAAATTATAGTATTCGACTTTCTTCCCATGCTACCATAAGAACACGTTTATGTTCCCTGTGAACAATGAAACTGCAAACATTTAACCGCATAACAGAGTTAAGTGTTGGATACTTTACTCCAAAGCCCTGTTTGATTATTACTTTAATTTCTGGCGTAAAAATGATTCAGTCAGTCAGTCAAAAAAATAAAAAATAAATAAATCCAGCAGAAGAGTCACAATATCAAAAGAGGCTATTCCTAAAGGTTATTTTGACTGTAAGGAATAGTTTGATATTTTAAGAAATAAGTCGGTTTCTTGGCAAGAGTAAGATGAGATTGATACCACTTCCTGTCTGTAAGTTAAATACAAAGCTGCAGCCGGGTAACAGAAAGCCCAGCACAACTTGTTGCTTTTACATTTTGGTTTGTGTAAGGATTAACCAAATGTAATATAACATGTTAATGAATGCACTTTAAGAATGCTTGAACTTTGGAAGAACTTTGAAAAAAGCAGGCCAGCAGTTTCCCCTGCTTCTTGTTTTTGTTCAAAGCTAAATAAGCTAATCATCTCCCAGCTCTAGCCCTAATGCACAGGCATGAGAGTGGGAACTAGCAGCTGGTTAGCTTAGCTAATTTTGCCTACCACATAACCCCCTGCAAAACCACAATTTGTCATTGTTACAATTTGTTTTTGCACGGATTAAACAAACAAGATGCAATGTTGTCGATGTTAATTATGGAAGTTAAATCTTTAAACAGAGTCAGGCTAGCTGTTTCCCCTGCTACAACTCTTTAGGCTAACTTAAGCTAACCTGCTGCTGGCTCTAGCTTCATATTTAGCATACAGACATGAGAGTGGTAAGCCCTATCAATTTTCAAAGCTAACTTTTGGCATGCTTTAATTTGACTGACTGGATGTATGGGATTTCTTGGAACACATTTTATAAAAGATGATTGCAATTAATTGGTGTCATGTTTGTAAAAATGCTTTTTTTTCTTTCACACACTGGCAGACAATATGCTTAACTTCATCCACTGCAACCTTGGGTGACTTATAATAACAGTAATTATACAGAAACTGAAATTGATACTCATTTTTGTGATTTTTAAACATGAATATCAAGGAATATTTTTGTCACTGATCCGATTCCATAGCCTTGGACTAAAGAGGATGGAAGAAAAAGTGTTAATTAGGAACCAGCACAGGTTATAAGCTACGACCCAGTAGGAATATGAATACATTGACATTTGTCTCGGTGTCAGCCATTGAATCCTTAAAGGTCAGGATGGGTCCAACCTGCTTTTACAGCTTGATGGTGACATTTTGGTATTCTGTAGCATTCAAAACTCATGATAACTGTGAACATGCTAACAGCACTGACACAAAAATCCCCACACACAGAAATGGTTTAAAATTTCAACATCTCCAGTTTGTTCAGTGACTAAAACAAATAACGACAATGCAGTTGTAGAAGAAGTTGTATCTTTTTAATCTCTTGTCATCCAGCTATGCAACAACAGTAGGGTTAGACTCTCTTGCCTGTCAATATCTTGACCTTTCAGAATTCAACCACTGACCTTTTGAAGAAGTGTAACTACCTCTGGTACCCTCCTCAAGCACTTCCACAAAGAGAGACACAATAATGATGCTTCCTAATTTTATTATTTTCCTGTTATTGTTGTTTAATCTGTGTTTGAAGTGAAACTTCCGAGTCTACAGAAATATATCATCAGTGTTCCATCAGTGCTCCAAAATATGTACATTTTGTTCAAATTTGTGCCCATGTTAAAACACACCATTGTCAACACCTCACATTTGACACTTGGTACCTAAAACTGCAAAGTAAATTCGAAGATTTCGTTGTTATATGTTTGATGCTGATCCCAAATATTTGATTTATTTGAAGGAGCGTTTGATTTATTTTCCCAGGCAAATTAAAAAGCTTAGAAACAAAGTCAATGACCTTTTAAGGCTTCTATTATGTGAGGTAACAAAACTGATTTATAGCACTGGTCTCTTCGCCCTGGCTAAACCTTCTCTGACTGAACACTCTTGCTTTGCTGACTATTTGGCCTCCAAAAATCTTGACCAAGCGCTCCTGACGTTTTCAAATATTTGCACTGACTTCAGTTACTACATTGCCTGACTCTTTAAAATGTTGTTAAACTCCTGTAGAACTCCATGGCCTCTAAATGTGTCTGGGTGAATTTGCACAAGATGAATGTATATGTCTTGACATCTCTCTGATGTTTTCTGTACATGTCTGTTTTTGATAGTAAAACTTTAGTATGCATTACCTTTGCAAAATACAGTCTGAAGCTACAGCTTGTGAATAAACCAAAAGGTTTGTGTTCTTGATCCTGCATGGGATTTCGAATACAATGGACTGGACAAGAGTCTGACGTCTCCTTTGTTTTTGTTTTTCAGGGTTGGATGTGTTTCCAAGAGAGCACCGGTTCAGATTACTGCTTACATCATTTAGTTTGTATTCAATAATTCACAATATGAATCAGCTCTTTAAAAAAAAACAGACTGTGATAAGATTAAAGCAAGATGAGTCGACGTTTTCAATTACATTTTGTTCTTACAGCCTCCAATGCTGGTGATTTTCATGCAAGTAGTATTTATTATTATAACTATGGAGTGAGAGACAAGAGTTCATTACTATTCCTTAGCTCAGTGACCATTAATTTTAATACAAAACAGCTTATAAAATAACATCTTGTTTTTTGTCTAAGATTGAAGTTACAGCTAGTAGCTAGCTTACGTAGCTTAGCATAGAAGTGAACAGCTAGTCTGGCTCTTTCCAAAGGTAACATGTTTGTTTCAGTCATACAAAAAAACACAGTCTCTAAACTAATCTAAACTAAGCTAAGCTAAGCTAAGCTAAGCTAAACTAACCATCTG